AAATATTGTTTATAGTTAAAAAGTTAAAATTGATGTATAAAATGAATGTAGTTAAAAAATTTTTTTTGTATGATAGATCTTAAAACAGGGTGCCTCACACAAAGGCACCTCACATTATTGGCAGTAATATCTAGTTTCTTTTCTTATTTTTTTCCCTGCACCGTCATGCTTGCTTTTACATATGGCACAGCGTCTTGTGGGAGCATTTTTTTGTTGGTTGCCGGAAGAAGGTCCGGAAAACGTCTTTCCGTAAGTCTAAGTGGACCTTGAGTTCTCGGCCCTGAAGTTCTCGGCTGACCAAGTCTGGTAACCTTTGTTTCGGTGTGATATTTTTGAATAATTGTTTCTATAACATTAACCTGAAATTCCAAATGTTCTGTAGTGCCACCATTTTTTTTATATAAAACAAAAGAATTAAGACAAAAAATTTACAAGGGGTATCGGGGGTAAGCAAGGGAGAGAGTCAAGTGAGGGGAGAAGTGAGAGAGAGGAAGAGGGTCAAGTAAGGGGAGAAGTGAGAAAGTCGACAGTTGATGACGGGAAAGTGAGGAAGGACAAAATGACGTTCCCCTCGATGTGGGTTCCTGTCCGTGGTGAGGGGAACCTCCCGGAGATGGTTTAGATACTCTTCTTCACCATCCCTGGGATCTGAACGCCCACCCACGTGTTTGCCGTGCGTGGTGTCCCGTATGCCGGAAAGGGGGATCCTGGTAGTTGAGGGGCAACATAACGTCCCCAACACACTGCTTTGGCCCCTGCTTCGGATAAACGGGAGGCTCAAATCAGGCTCCATTTGAGTCAATCGGCTGGTCGTTGAGTCATTTTTGACCTCGGCTTGGAGTCAACTGAACGATGCAGTTCGGGCGGACACGTCAGACAAGATGTGCTCTTCTTGACTGCATTGTGAGGGTATAGCTCCTGGGAAACCCTGGTGTGACGGTCTATGGGAGTCTCGCATGTGACGGCATCTCCTTGTTGGGCCCCATGGTGGGTGGGGTCACTAGGAGCTGAATTCTTTTGTCTAAATATGGATTCAAGAAATTTAAAACCACTAAATAGGGATAAGTTATCTCCAGTAACATCCAACGTTTCCAGCACTGCAACCTACTTGATAGTTCATGCAACTGGTGATAAACCACTGGCGAAATGCTCTCCATTTCTTATTCAAAAAATATTTGAATCAACGATCGGACACTTGAAAAAGATACAAAAATTGAGGTCAGGGGACCTGCTGGTAGAAACAGCCTCACCTCAACAAACAGTAAATCTATTAGCAATAAAAACACTGGGAGACATGGAAGTCACTGTCACCCCACACGGAAGTCTAAACTCATCACGTGGGGTGATATCTGAGATCGATCTGATGTCTGAAGACGAATCAGATATTCAGATCGGTCTTTCAGATCAAGGTGTCACTGCTGTCCGACGCATCTCCATTCGTCGAGATGGCAAGTTGATACCAACTAAACATCTCATTCTTACTTTCGGAAAGCCAACATTACCATCATTTGTTACTGCAGAATATCTGCGCTGTCCGGTTTGTCCGTACATTTTAAACCCGCTGCGTTGCTTTAAATGCCAGCGATTTGGACATTCCCAAACATCATGTCGAGGCAAAAGTTTATGTGCACAATGTGGAGTTGAAGGCCACCAGAGTACTGAGTGTACAACCACTCCATGCTGCGTCAACTGCAAAGATGCCCATCCTGCCTACTCCCGAAAATGTCCCACATGGCAAAAAGAGAAAGAGATTCAGCGGGTAAAGACGGTGAA